GGGCTTGGGGCCCGGCCCACCAAGAGGGTTTTCACCCTCTCCGCCTTCGGCAACCATCCAACACGCCCCCCAAGGTCGGCGGATAACCTTAATGGGGACCATACCCTATACCCTAAACCCTAAACCCTAAACCAGGAATCTTGATCAATTGCCTTTTGCTAGCCCTGTTGGCAGAAGATGGGATCAAGGTTGCAGTGATCGCGGCCTGTTCCCCATGCAAATTCTTCCTCTTGTTGGTATTGGATATTTAGGGTTTAGGGGTTTAGGGGTTTAGGGTTTAGGATTTAGGGGTTGAGGGTTAGATCCTTTTTGTGGTCCTACATGATCGCCCCCCCAAAAAGGTATTCTCCATTTTCTGCCCATTCCCCTTAAACCCGCATCATGGTCCTTCTTAAGCCCTAGTTTCCATATCATGTCCCATCTGATGTTCCCTTTGATTACCAGGTCTGGTAGTTTCCATTTTCTTTTCCATCCCTAAGCGCATCCCTACCACCTACATAGCACCTTCCAGTTTCTTTGCCATTCCTTAAACCCATCTCTAACCGTACCAAATCCCAAACCCTATACACCCTTAACTACTAAAAATCTAGGTAGACATATTGAAGGCCCCATTTTCCTTTCCATTAATTCATTCCGTGGTAACCAGAGGTAAGAAAAAGGGCAGGCAGCTGCGCCAGTCTGCTTCTTCCCGCGCTTAGGCCACGCCTGGGCTCAGCTTAGAGTTTAAACCCGGGAAGGGGCTTTGTGGCGACCTTCCACAGGCTCAGCGGGAAGAGAAAAGGCTGCATTTACACACCCTTGTGGATCAATGTCCCCACAAGAGAAATTTAGGGACCCTAAACCCTGGAGCCTAAAATGTATGGTCCTGTCGTTTAGCCTCAGCAGAGGCCTCGATCGCATCTCAATGTCCCCCTGCCCTCAGGTGCGGCTTTCATCCCTACACGTGATGAAGCTGCCTGTGGATGAGTGCATGTATCGTCCAAGATTTAAGATCCCCTAACCCGAGTTCAGGGTCCCCCCTGCCGTATGCGTAAGCACAATGCTTGAAAACCATTGTGCCCCCAACGTTTAGGATCAATAGGGCTTCTTGAGCCTAAGCCTTGCTTCTTGAAAGGACAATTAATTATGTCTGCTATGCTTATTATTGCATGTAGTACTGCCATGCCTGCCAGTAAAGGCGGACGTTATGGAATTGGCTGGGTTGCCACTAAGGAGCTTAAGCTAAGTTTCCCAAACTAGGAAGCCATGTTGTTTACAATATATATCCATAGTATGGTGACTCCATTCAAGTTCCGTAGATCCCTATATAGCCGCTGTACAACCTCAATTTCCATGTCATCTTCCAGTTGGTGTTCCCTTTGAGTTCCCTTTATGGTAACTAAACTAAGCCTAACCCCCACTCCCTAAACCCTAAACCCTAAACCCTAAACCCCCACTCCGTGAACAAAGTTCTAAGCCTCCCTATGACCCCTCGAACCTTTAGTCTCTGATCCCCAAACCCATTCCCTAAACCCCAAACCCTCAACCTGAAAACCTATAATCCCTTAAAGGGCCCCTTTGAGGAGTGCAACCCTAAACCCTAAACCCCAAACCCTGAAAACCTAATCCCTCGCATTTTTTTCAATCCCTGAAGTCCTCAAAAGCTTGTGGAAGCCTTGCAGCCCACTTCCGTGAGGCTAACGGCGGCCCTAGCTGCTTTTGTGTTCGAGATTCAATTCAGGCCATGGGTTTAGGGGGTTAGGGTTAAGGGGTTTAGGGGTTTAGGGGTTTGGGGTTTAGGGTTTAGGGGCTTACAGTTTAGGCCTTGTTAGACGGATACAATACAGGGGTATATAGTGGTAGAGAAAGATAAAGAGGTTTATAGGTTGGGTACTGCCCCCCCCCCTCACTAACAGTTGGATAATAAGTATAATATGGTTATATATATATATATAGCCCTTAATAGGACCCCAAATATAGACTGTTACTGGGGGGGGGCAGTACCCTATGTATAGGGATATGCTAAAACCCTGGGTTGCCCAAGATTCTCCGTCCAGCTCAGAGAAACTGGGCTGAGTACAGACCACAGGTGCAAGCATAGATAGCTGCCCCAGGATAGGGTAAACTACTATAATGGGGTTATTTAGGGT